TGTTTTCTATTGGATTATATATATATATATATATATATATATATATATATTTTTTTTTTAAGTTTAATTGTTAATTTGTTCAAAACATGATACATTTTTTAAGATTAATAGAAAGTTCAAAAGAGCAGCAATTATTTAAAATAGTTTTTGTTGTAACAACGTAAATGCTTACTTTCACTTTTGATCAGTTAAATGCATTCTTGCTGAATAAAAATATTCATTTACTTTAAAGGGGTCATATGATGCTGCTAAAAAGAACATTATTTTGTGTATTTGGTGTAATGAAATATGTTTATGCGGTTTAAGGTTCAAAAAACACATTATTTTCCACATACTGTACATTGTTGTTTCTTCTTTATGCCTCGCCTTTCCGTGACGGAAATGTTACTTCCCTTACCCTATTGTGATGCCTGCGGCAACCACATGTGACGACCCCGGGCTGGACGCCGCTTCGTCCACGGTGAAAGCCGATCCGGCGAGCGACAGTGCAAAGTTGAAGTATTTCCTCAGCGACCAGCACAGATCAGCTCCAGGCATGACGAAGCGATATCGTCCTCTTTTAGAAGACCAAACGAAGTAGTTTCACTTTCACAACGAAGCACACAGCGCCTTCACGACATGGCGGCAGCGGCAACAATACCACAGCGAGAATAAAAGTTATGCCTTCTTTCTTTGCGTGAACATTTGGGCAGCGTTATGCAAATCTTCCCACATAGTGACGTAGGTATGTGGGGGCGTGTTAGAACGAGCCGTTTTAGGTAGGTGTGGCTGACTCTTAACTTTTATAAAGAATATCTCTTTGGATTTGAGACTTTAGTCTTTGCAACTTTACAGATCTTCTTTATGCACCAAGAGCTTGTAACACTCCAAAGAGAAAGGAAAAATTGAAATCGCATCATATGACCCCTTTAAAGTCCCCATGAAATTAAAATGGAAGTTTTTTGGCTTTTAGTATGAATATGTTAGCCTTAAAGTTATCTATAACCTAGCGTGCTCCATAACAATGACAAAATTTGCATTTACAAGATATAAGCATTCAAAATGTACAGTCTCTAAATTTTGCCAATATGGGTCAGCGATTTTGATGACATCACCTTGCACTTCAGCTTCTCATCACCAATCAAATGCTCTCTAGAATCATTATAATCATTATAACCACTGTTTTGCTTCAGTAACAGTTTCATATTGAATCTAAAGGGTAAATCTATTAGACTGTGGCTGTCATACTCTGTCAAATGCGGCTTTACTGAGCTCAACGGTGACATAAACAAAACGCTATTGACTATTTAAAAAAGGGGGTGGTGCTGCTTGATAAGTCCCGCCCTGACTTCCTGTTTCAGTTGAAATTACGTCAACACACAGAATAGCGCTGCATGTTTCAGGGCACTTCAGTGGACCTTTAACAAAAATATTACTGACCCAAAATTCAAAATAGTGAAACTAAAAAAAAAAAATGAAAACCAGATATTTTTCTCAATATTTATTTTCAATCTCAAAATCTGATGCCAGTAACCTTTCAAACAGCAATCTTTCAAATCTCTGATAAGTTCTGCCTTAAAAAGCACTCATTCTATCAAATGGGCACCCTAATTGAACATGACTTTGTTTCCAGGAGGACTAGTGCACCTTGGCTGCTGGATTGCATTACATAAATGCCAGCCAATCAGATCGGAAAACACCTGATTTTCAGATAGTGTTTGCCAGTTTGTGTGCAATACGCATCAGAAGGTATGTGGGCATTCTGAACATCATTGGATTTTCAGTTTTCAGCTACTATGCCCCAAAACACAATAAGAAAATAATTTTATGCTGCAGCTGACACAGACTGTTTGAAAGAAGCATTTCTGTTGGCAGAAAAGGTCCAGTTTTACCAGGTCCAGTGGACAGTACCATGTGGTCTTCATCGGGGACGGCTCCCCCTAAAATAACACAGACAAAAAAAAATGTAAGTGCATCATATATTTCCATCGTAAACACTGTTTAGACTGAAGATGCATATATGCAAACATTAATAATTGGGATTAAACAATTACATACATTACAAGTGTAAAAAAAGCAACCGTTTTCCAACAGGTTTCCAGAACACTCCCCATGTTGCCATTGGTTGGACAAACACATAGTCCCGCCCCAAACTCACGCTATTGGTTGAGCTGGTCAGGATGCACTTTGATTGGGAACATTAAACATTAAACGTTATCTCAAAACGGCTAAATTTCAGCTCAATTATTAAACTTTGCTATTAGCTATGGCTAAAGCTCCACTTTCTATCCTAACAATGGCTGCATTTAAAGCAAGGTAAGATTGCAATGGCAGTTATGTTGAGTTTGAGGCATCACATTTACATGTTATCTCCAACAAAAACTTTACGCATGACAGAAATTGCCTCATTCAATCGTCTGTTTCAATTTCCAGCTTTTAAACTGACGTATGCATTAGAATGCTTTTGATTTACTCAACTCATTTGACAGAGATTTTCCGACACTAAAAATGCATGAGACAACAGGCCAAAAAGAAACCCGGTGACATGGTTATGAGTAACTGTCTGAAACGTCCACATGCTTTCCAGCAGAATGATACACATCGATCACTTACTAAGATCAGTGTTCAAATTTGAACACAATTTTTTTTTAATTAATTAAAAAGCTGCTATTTTGTCTGAGCAGGAAATGCTAAATTGTTATAAAGCACACGAGATACTTCATAATAATCTTGAGAAGTCTTGAAAAAAGCCATAACCCTAAGCAAAGCAAAACATTCATACATAACCTCAGTTGCAGTTAATTTGCTTGAAATCATTCAGTGTTGTGTGTGCCTTAAATTGAAAAACAACTCAAGGAAAAAGACTACCTTCAACTCAGCGAGTCCAGACAGGCAGAGATCTGCCAACTTCCTGGAAATCTTTAGAGTTTGCCGGAAAACTCCATCTCCTTCAGGCCTTTTCATCTGTTCGATTTAAGCTATTTTTTTGCTGCTGCTTACAGAGGAGTATTGATTTCATTCAGCGAGATTCTTAGTCTATCTGTCTTCCCCACTCAAATCTCACTCTCTCTGTTATGGAGCCGTGCAAACACACCTGAGCTTGTCGCTAGGCCAGCCCCCTCCACACACACACACACACACACACACACACACACACGCACGTACGTATACGTCACAAGGGCACTCCTGTTACAGACTCGCACACAATCTCTCCCTCTTCTTCATTCATTTATGGGTGAATCTCAAAAAACCTCCAGCTCATATTTCCCCCCCCCCCCTCACCCCCACCAACAAAAAAAACATTTATATATATGTATATATATATACTGTATGTACTGTATGAGTGTATATATATATATATATATATATATATACAGTATATATTAATTAAAAATGCATAAATCCTAAAAATAGCCTGATTTGGGGGGAACTATGACTTTCATATCAAAATATACTTATATCCAAAATGTATTTATATTATATTATGATATTTATATATTTATAATGTCCTCGTTTGCCATAAAAATAATGTAAAAAAAAAAATTAATGGACCTTAAAATATGTTTACGTTTCTTTATTCACATATATTCTTATTTTAATTGTGGGGGAAAATATGAATATTTTCAAAAATAGAAATATATTTATAATAAATAAATAAATAAATAAATATATTGAAATAAAATATAATACTATTAAATTCTATTTTTATTTTTTATGTATATATTTTTTTTAAATAAAAATAGGCTTCCTTTTTAATGCACATATAGAATAAATAAATAAATAAATATTATATTGAAATAAAATATAATACTATTCATATATATTTTTATTTTTGAAAAATGTTTAATTTTTTCAGTCATATTTTAATTTGGAGGGGGGAAATATGACTGTTAAAAAAAATCTAAAACATTTTTAATATTTGTAATATAATGTAAATATTTGTCATGAATTTAATTCTATTTTTATTTTGTATGTATATTTTTATTTCAAAATAAAAATAGGCTTCCTTTTTAATGCACATATAGATTCTTATTTTAATTTTTGGGGGGAAATATGACTGACAAAAATCTAAAACATTTTTAATATTTGTAATGTAATGTAAATATTTGTCATGAATTTATTTCTATTTTTATATATATCTTTTTAATGCACATATAGATTCCTATTTTAATTTTGGGGTGAAAATATGACTGAAAAAAGTGTAATAAATATATAAAAATATATAAATAAAAACATAATGGTCCCAAAAGTAGGCCTCCTTTTCTTTATGCACAGTATTTATTTTAATTTTGGGAAAAATATGACTTTGACAGGTTCCCATAAGCCTTACATGTGTAGACTAATGCTGCTAAACCTGTTTGGTGAAGTTTAATGCAATGAATGAAACGGGAGTAAATAAATACACACAAATGTATCGGCTTCAGATTTCAAGAATGGCAGCCTTCTCGTCAAATCTACTGCTCTACAAGTCTGCATGTAAAACATCCATCATTTTATGGTTGGTCTTAAAAGAGATCTTCTTTAAACAGCAATGCATGACATGACAAATGCCTGCTAATAAAACATGGGGCAACACCTGTTTATCTAAAAAGGATACTCAACCGAAAGCACATATTGACACAGAGATGGCGACATGCCGTGCAGGTGTTGGGTTTTGGTTAATCTTCATGCAGTCCTGAGAGCAATGAATGTTAACCTCGCTGATTACAACCTATTTGCTGTGCTGGAGTGTTGTTTATATATAACGAAACAGCCAAGTTCCATGTTTTAGAAAGTAAAAATAGCTTGACTCTGTGAGACGCCGCCACAGGTGAACCACAGACATGAAGTTATATTACTCTAAACTGAACTGAAACTTGGATGAAAAAAAAAATCTTTGAGGTCTGTCTTTCCTACTGGGGAATCTTTTCCTTTTCTTTTCTTTTTTCTTGTGTAAGTGCCGCTTCAGACATATCCACTTGGAGCACCGTCTCATTTGAAAATAAATGTAATGCAAACAAGAATTTTTGATTTTTCTGAACAAAGAGTGATGCTAGGCATTCTGGGTGGTTTCTGGGTTGCAGCATAGCAACACCTTGGCAACCACTAAGATAGCATAGCAACACACTAGAATCATTCAGAATCGGGTGTTTGCCAATATGGTGCTTTGCAGTTTCCATGTGTTTAAACAGTTTTAGTCTGTTGCTAAGCAGTTGCTAGAGTGTTCTGAATGGTTTCTAGCATGTTGCCAAGGTGTTGCTATGCAATTTGTAGAGTGTTTTATTTAGTGTGTTGCTAGAGTCTTCTAGTGGTTTCTAAAATGTTGCCAATGTGTTGGGTGGTTGCCAAGGTGTTGCTACACAGTTTATAGAATGTTTTAAATAGTGTGTTGCTAAGCAGTGTTCTAGTGGTTTCTAGCATGTTGCTATGCAGATTGATATGCATTCTGGGTTGCCAAGGTGTTGCTATGTAGTTGCTAGAGTGTTCTGAGTGGTTTCTACAATGTTATGCATTCTGGGTGGTTACCAAAGTGTTGCTATACAGTTTCTTGGACGTTTTAAATAGTGTGTTGCTAAGCAGTTGCTAGGGTGTTTTAAATAGTGTGTTGCTATGCGGTTGTTAGAGCGTTCTAAATGGTTTCTAACATGTTGCCAAGGTGTTAGGTGGTTGACAGGGTGTTGCTATGCGGTTTCCATGTGTTTAAACAGTTTTAGTCTGTTGCTAAGAAGTTGCTGGTTTGTTATGATTGGTTTCAAGCATGTTGTCAAGGTATTGGGTGGTTCCCAAAGTGTAGCTATGCAGTTTCTAGGGCGTTTTAAATAGTTTTAATCTGTTGCTAAGCAGTTGCTTGAGTGTTATGAGTGGTTTCTAGCATGTTGTCAATGTATTGGGTGGTTCCCAAAGTGTAGCTATGCAGTTTCTAGGGTGATTTAAATAGTTTTAGTGTGTTGCTAAGCAGTTGTTAGAGTGTTGTAATAGTTTCTAGCATGTTGCTATAAAGATTGCTATGCATTCTGGGTGGTTTATGGGTTGTTGCATAGCAACACCTTGGTAACCACTCAGAATGCATAGCAGCATGCTAGAAATCACTCAGAACCTGTTGGTTGGTAATGTGGCTTCTATGTGTTTCAATCTGTTGCTAAGCAGTTGCTAATGCATTCTGATTGGTCTCAAGCATGTTGCTATGATTTCTTAAATGGTTCCCATGGTGTTGCTATGCAGTTTGTAGAGTCATTTAAATAGTGTGTTGCTAAGCAGTTGCTGGAGTGTTCTAGTGGTTTCTAGCATGTTGCTATGCAGTTTGCTATGCATCCTGGGTGGTCGCAACAGTGTTGCTATGCAGTTTGTAAGACATTTAAAAAAAATTTAGTATGTTACTATGCAGTTGCTAGAGTGTTCTGAATGGTTTCTAGAATGTTGTGCATTCTGGGTGTTTACCAATGTGTTGCTATATAGTTTCTAGGGTGTTTTAAATAGTGTGTTGCTAGTTGCTGGAGTGTTCTGGGTGGTTTTTAGAATGTTATGCATTGTGGGTGGTTACCAATGTATTGATATGCAGTTTCTAGGGTATTTTGAACTGTTTTACTTTGCTACTATGTGTTTTCTTTTCTAAACAGTTTCTGAGTGTTCTGGATGTTTGTTCTTTTTTTTTTTTTTTTTTTTTTTTTTTTTTTGGGGTTGAGAGTTTGGTGTATTTTATTGTATTGCTATACAGCTGCTAGGGTGCTTTTCATTCATAAATGGAATAAATATCATGTCAATTTTTTTCCCACTTACTGTAAGGGTTGGATGTTTGGAAAAATATGTAATCCTGGGTTAAGTAAGATGATAATAGTGATACTTGCATTGCGTCTTTATGTAATGCAAGGTATAAAACTCCTTGATTTCCATTACCAATCCTCTCTGAGTCAGGTCTGGAATGAACCTTAACAGCTCATTAACGCAGACACTTTTACACTAG